AAATCTTCTAGGAGTCCAACCTACCAAAGTTCTCTTTTGAGTTCTTCAGCTCAAATATAATTTAGGATATCTGCTCTCAAATGTTCAATTGATTTTTAAGAAATTGATATTATATATAAAAGTTATTTTTTATTTTTAATAATTTCATTTTTAAAATTTTTATATAGTGTTTGTTTTGAATTCCATTTAATCTAACTCCAACATGTTAATCTATGTGAGTCTTCTTTTTTTTAATTTTTCTTTTGTTGATCATAGTTCCTGCACTATGCACAGGATTGTATTTTTGATTGTTCATCAAACATTCTGTTATGCTAGTCACTAAGGAAAACGATCAAAGATACACAGGGTGGTTTGTGGCTGGGCAATTGACATGCATGTATACGACTAGCTGTGCATTTTTCCCATGTTATCACTCTCCCACATGTCTCCCTTTCTTCACCTGACTTTCTGTGCAGATGCTGAAGTGTCAGATCATTCATAATGACACCCACACCTGCACTGTCAGGCGTATCTTAAGGCGACTATACTGACAGTGTCTGTGTGAATCCTGTGATCTGTGTATTTGATATGTTGTTTGGTAAAGTGTGCACAGGCTTTCAGCTTTTTTATGATCAGAAGTAGATGATAGTGATGGAGAAAAGCACTGTAAACTTACTTAGCTTGTTCCAGAGAGTTGCAGTACTTGCATCCCTGCAAAAATGTCACTGCTGTTTTCACCACTTTCCCATTCGAAACAGCAATTCATTGTAAGTGTTACGTCTTGTTTGTCATGGAATAAAGCAATGCAGTGCTTTATATTTCATTAAACTACTTATATTTTAAGTATTAGGCATATGCATATCAGATTGAGGGGTTTTACCATTATTTATGATGATACATGACTTAACACTAGTAGGGAGTCAATTTCCTGAGACAATGGTGCCTTACCAAGTCTTCCTTGAAATGTCACAGGAATGTTTATGTTCCAAAGGGACATTAAACTATTAACCTAAATGTCACCAAGATGATGATGTGGAACAGAAACACAGTTGATCTTCTGTGAATATGCAGTTTGTGAGAGAACTAAACCTTCCTGTGGGAAGCCACTGAGAATCTGAATCACAAGTGAACACACTATAACCATGTCTGTCCTGAGTGATGCATGACTTAATGTCTTTGGAAGAGAAATTTCCCAATATAGAGTCAACCATCTTCCTCAACACCTCAGGGAGCAGGTCACAGGAAGGAGACTGTAAAAAGTGGAATCCTTCTCCAAGGTAGACCTTGGCTCAAGGCAAAGTTATAGTACCCACCTCCTATGAGACCTTGGGAAATTCACATCCCCTCTGTCTCTCCTCAATAACTCCACAAAATGGGTTATTGAGAGTGTTAAGTAAATGCAACACTGCACTTAAATAATGTGGTCAATTTGCACATTATACTGCTCAGTGTGAACCCACAATACATTTTATCTGATACTACTCAGTAATTTATTGGTGGTCCCAGCTCCTTAGGATTGGAAGGAATTCTGGCTGACTGTAAAGCGAAAGTAAAGTCGCTCAGTCGTGTCCGACTCTTTGCGACCCCATGAACTGTGTAGCCCACCAGGCTCCTCCGTCCATGGAATTTTCCAGGCAAGAATACTGGAGTGGGTTTCCATTTCCTTCTCCAGGGGATCTTCCCGACGCAGGGATTGAACCCGGGTCTGCTGCATTGCGGGCAGACGGTTTACCATCTGAGCCACCAGGGAAGCCTGGTTGATAGTAAGAGACCCTGTATCTTCAAAGCCTGATAACCTCAGAAGGGATTCAATTCCATCTTTGCTAGTTCCAGGTTATGGATAGTGGGGCCAGCACATTGCCTGAAGTCAGGTTTTGAACAATGAAGTCCCAGCTGGTGCGGTGGGAAATGCAGCATGACTAGGTATATAAGGAGTCAGGGTCAACTCCCCACAAGCTAGACTGTAGGGTTTATTGCCAAAGGGAAGCTCTACTCTTGAAAGCTAAACCTTTGGAACCAGCAATCTCAAACAAAACGGAAGGTACAAGTCTTTCCAAGTGTGATGATCCTTAGGAAGCTGAGCTTCAGGAAGGATGCAGCATCAGAACTCCAGCAACTGTGATGCCTAGGAATCTTGCCTTTTCTGCCTCCTCCACTCTGGGTCTTTTCACAGAGTGGCTTCAAGTGCGGCCCATCATTCCCCACCACACGCACTGGCCTGGCCCACTCCTTCCTTTCTGCTTCCTCTTGTCTCTGCTTCTCTTTACAGTTGTCCCCTTCTGTCACTTTCTGTCACTCTCCGGGACTTGACTCTTGGCTCTCTCTCTCTCAACCACTCTGCTTATCCCTTCCCCTGTCTCTCCGCAGGCCCTCAGGCACGCTGCTCCAGTCCATTCCTATCGGGGCCCACAGAGCACCAGTTCTCCCAGTCCTCCTACCCTCATTGGCGAGATTTGGCCCAGGCTCTGCTGATAGTGGGCGAGAATCTGTTTTAGAGAGACTGCTCACGCTGAGGTTTTCTGCTGCCCTGGGGCTCCCAGCTAATCCTGGGTGGCCCAGTCACTCCTTGGACCTGTTGATGGCCCAGCCTTGACCCCAGAGCTGCTGGAGGACGGGTGCCTTTGCCACTTAGACGGAGGGGGGACCCTCCAGACTCCAAGGGCTACTGGGGCAGGATGGGTTGGACTGGGGGACTTGAAGGGAGATAGATATTTCTATCCAACTCCGTCTTCTTGACATTGATGGGAGTCTGAACCATCACTGCACCTTTCTCAATAAAGAGATTGTGGGAGGATTAAGGGAGCTCATGGGACTTAGTAAGGAAACTTTTGCCATTACCCACTCCACTCAGAGCCACCTGGACTTGGGGACAGCTGGCAGAGTGGGGGAAGAAGAGTACAAAGCCTGGATTAAGGCAGGACCCCCGCACTGGACTCTCTCAGCCACTCCTAGCACCTCCTCCATTCCTCACAATAGGAAATGGCCACTTCGTGGGGACAGATACCTGTCTCTCTGATGACCAGACACCCCTGTGACTGACAGGATCCATGTACTCAGCGAGTATTTAGAGACTGAATAAACACAACCATCCCTAGGTCTAGACATAGGATGTGTCCAGCACCCTGGAAGAATCTATTGGGCCCCCTTGCACTCAACACTACCTCACCGGATGACCCTGCTTCTGCCCCATCACTGTTGGTCCTGCTTGTTTGTGACCTGGGTGTAAGTGAGTCACTCCCTGTGTACACAATGGGTGTGACTGTTGGTCTTCCAGGAAGCAACACTGACACAGAGGTAGAAGCGTGGAAGGTTTATTAGGGCTGACAATGGGAGAGACAGTAGTGGAAGGGGCAGGGAAACATTCAGGCCAGAATGTAGATCTGACACCTTCTCTAAGGATCCTATTACCATAGTCTGCTTGCCATGGCTCAAGATTCTCTTCAAATTTAAACTGGTTCTCCTGTAAGGGAAAGACATTCTGATTTATTTCAATGTAATCTGATTTTTCCCTACATGCATTTTGCCTTCCCTAATACATCTGTGATCTCTGATGAACGCTTTACTGTGTGGCTGCATCTGCGACTCTATACGTAATGAAAACAATTCCTGTCAGATCTCTGAATGTACACACTCTCCTCTCTTCTTTTTTAACTAGTAGGGCCTGAATTTTTACAGGGGAAAGAGTATCTTGGCCTTGTCTTTTAAAGCACAGATTGCTAAGCTCTAGGCCTCAGGGCTTATATCCTTAGGTTAATTTAACATATTTTCCAGAGTATCTTTCATGATTTGTGTGTGTGCATACAGTTTCCTTTAAACTACAAGAGCAAATATGTGTCAGCCAGTCTGCAAAATTCTATATGTACTTGATCTCATCTTTCTCATGATGACATCAGAAATCAATATTATCCTTGTTTTAATGATAAAAAGCTCACACTCTGTCTAGGTCCCACTGAGTATTGGGCACTGAACAACAGGTATACAAGCAAAGAATCATGTATAATATACTGTGAGGAAAATGTGGGAGATGCAAAGCTGACAGTCAGGGGTGGGGACTAGAGGATGCAGGGATGTGGTGACAGGGGTCCTGCAGGAATGGCTCTGGATCAACCTTGAATTCCCTGGGAAGAGCCTGCCTTATGCTGAAGGCCAAGGCAGCTCTTCAGCTCATCTAGATCCTGACTGTGTTTTCAAATCATTAGACCAAAAAATAAAAAAAAGCTTCAGCCACACAAAATAATCAAGGTAAACATCCGTGTTTCCCTGATATCCAGAGCCTTCTTTCACCCATAAGCAGAACTTTGGGCAATCAAAAGAAAACAATAACCCTTATGAGACATGACTATCTAAGGGCTTTATGGCAACAATGGCATCTGAAGGGGATCATGCATTGCCAGAGCTGTGTCATTTCAACACGCAGCCGCCCCGTGTGGACATCTTACTGCCTCAGAGTTCCTGCCCAAACTGTTTGTCCTGCTGGGAATGGCCTTCCAATTCCATCTAAGTGCAACCACTTCACTTTTTACTTTTTCTTCTAAAATAGCCTATGTATTCCTGTGTGACTCACAGATCCCTCTCGCACTCTAGGGTCTTGAACTGGTGCTTCTGTTATGAGGATCACAAGTTTTGGGTCACTTATGCATCATTTCTCTCTCTCTCTGTTTCTCTCAAGGAATATTTTAATCCTTGAAATAAGGAATGTGTCTTATGATTCACAGAATCCAACAAGTGGTTTCTGTATGAGGCGAATCTGCAAAACTGGTCTTTCTCTCATTCTCTCAAAAGCCTCTTTTCTTCTCTGCAAGGAACACCTGATGCCCAGCTCAGTTTGGGTGACCAGCCCATCGATCAATGTGAAGACCAGCTCATCACATGTGTGTCCTGAGAAACTTGAGGAATAAATGTTACAAACACCTCAGTCAGGTTTGTCTTTGCATTACAAAGCCATCAGTATACATATCTGCATTGCCTCTAAAAACTCAACAGAAAAATGGATGAACATGCTTCACAAGTTAGCATACTCCTCAGATCATCTTACCATCTGGAAGATGTGGAGGCACTGGGTGGGGTCCCAGAGGACGCCAGGGTGGAGGAGGTGGAAGAGGCCCACAGCCCTTGAGTGGTGATAAAGGGCAGCCCATGGGGTAGGGCATGCAGGGTGGTCCTGGGAAAGGAAGGGGCCCTCTTGCATCCATACTGACCTGTAGAACAGAAGTTTAAGATATGTTGATATGACAGAGAAGAGCCCCAATATCAACAAAAGCCGAAACCAGTGAAGCAGGTGCCAGCACCTGGTGCCCTCCCCTCTTCCAGGTTCCAAGAGAGCAGCCTAATGCCAGAGAACTCCACACACTTTCTGGGTCCTGCCCACAGCATGGGTAAAAGGGTATAAAACACTGTCAACACATGCTAATGCCTGCATCTGTAAATGTATAAAGTCAAGGGTCCTGTCTCAGAGGATGAACAGAGGAAATACCAAAATGATCAAGTAGCATATTCCTGACAGGAAGGCCTCCATGTTCAGAAGAACCCTCCGCCACTCCTTCACTACCACCAAAGAAGCTTGTTGTTTGCACACCAAGAACAGAGAGAATGAAAGGAAATGAAAAGCCCATTCTCTGCACATGGAATCATAGCTACTACGGGGTAAAAGCTCTGCCTGCAAGATCATGCCCACATCTGTGCTTCCTTAATGACAAAGGAGACCTAGCCTCCTTAGAGGTGCTGCCTATGGGCACAAAGATGGCCACGGAGATGGGGATTCCTGGAGGCCTGCAGGGGAGCCGTGCATCTGTTTTCAGATTTCAGGGAATCCTAAACCTATAAACAGACAGGCACAGTTCCATTTATCTTAATACACAGGAAACTCTGAACTTCAACTCCCCTATGGGATGCAGATTAAATGCATACTATGGAAAAAAAAAGAGTTGATCACTCTAAATAACAGAACTAAGTCAAACATGTTTTGATTTCAGGTATATAAGTCCTGTGATGTAAGATGAGAGAGGTCTCAGCTGTAACAGCTTAAAGGACACCACACAGCATGCTTTCATGAACACAATGTAAGTACTTGTTGGAAATCACCCCTGCAGGTTATTATTGACCTTCTCCTCTCCACTACTCTGTTTAGTGTGCATGCTCTACTAAAAATATAAGATTTCTGAAGGTCGAGATTTTTAAACCTAGGTGTCACTAGGTGTCATCTTCAGCCTCAGTCTTTCCAATGAATATTCAGGGTTGAGTTACTTTAGGATTGACTGGTTTGATCTCCTTGCTGTCCAAGGGACTCTTAAAAGTCTTCTCCAACACCACAGTTTAAAAGCATCAATTCTTTGTCAATCAGCCTCCTTTCTGTCCAGCTTTCACATCCAGTACATGACTACTGGAAAAACAATAACTTTGACTATATGGACCTTTCTTGCCACGTAATGCCTCTGCTTTTTAAGACACTGTCTCGATTTGTCTTAACTTTTCTTCCAAGGAGCAGGCATCTTAATTTCACAGTTGCAGTCACCAGTTGCAGTGATTTTAGATTTAGTCTCTGTGGTAAGCCTAATGGCAACCTCCTCTAGGAGGACTTATGCCAACATGCCACACTTCTCAGGAATGCTGCTGCCAGTGTGCCTGACCTCACGACAGACCACTGTCAACCCATGCTTCCGCCGGTTCTGGGAGTCATACGAAATGTGACTAGCTAAAAACAGAGAAGCCTGTAGATTCTTGGGGAGAAGTTTGGTTTCCCAAGTAACAATGACATGATAGATACAGCACAATCAACCACACAGTCTAGAGATGAAGTCAAGAAAGGGTGTTGTATAAAAAGAAGTTTCCAGAAATAGTTACAACCATAAATGACCACAGCATTTACCTGGCCCTTTTGTACATCATTCGTAGGGAAATAACTGCTGTTTCTCATGGGAGCCACGTCAGGTCCTGGATCTGATAAAGGAGAAGTGATCGGAAGTTTTATTTTATTCCAATTTGTACAGATTCTGAGAAAGAACAATAATCCTACATGCCTTCTTCCACCATCTTACACTCTTTCCCACTCTCAGGTCCATTACCACAGGCCAAGGGTTTCTCCCATGCCTCAAGTGATTCCTAGGAGGGGAACAAGACCCTGACCTCTGAGGAAGACCACAGGGCCAGAGTTCATGTATTTTCATAACGAATCAACCAACTGTGGACAGGTCTCACCTAGCTGGAAATCAACATTGAAGGAACCGTTTCCCAATATAAGTCTGAGGAAATCCCAATTTAATCTCAGATTAGAAACAAATACAAGAATATCCTTAGATAAGTAGAATATTAACAAACCCTCAACATGAAGAGCAGGAATTCTTATTTTTGGCCACAGGGGAATTTTCAATTTTCCTGTCTCTGTGTAAGTTGTCTTCTATATGTGACCAGGTATTATACAAATACTCATAAAGGGAAATAGACTTAGACTAATTTTATAGTAATGAGAAAAGGAAAGCTGTGGAGATTCATCAGTGAAAGTGCATGTCATGCCGATGATGTTAGAGGAGGAAAATTACATAGATATTTAATTTTTGAGTGGAATACCTAACCCATTGTAATAAAACAAATAGATAAAGGAACCTCCAAAAACAGCAAATAAATGCCCATTTTGCTAATAAAAATAATAAATTCTCTCCCATATTTTCAAGGTGGGGAAGAAAGCTTGGACCCACTTGCCCTCCAGGCCTATCTCTTTAGTTAGAGGAACCTAGGTTGGGGGCTAAAGGGATGGGGAGGGTCCTCAGTAAGTGGTGGGACCTGAGCTCCACCAATCACAGGGCACAGGCCCAGAAAGTCATTCTGACTGAGGCATTGGAGGAAAACATCTGTCACTCCTTGAGACAACTTCTTGTCTTCAGTATGCACTGGTTATTGTTCCCGGGCAACACACAACACAGTCATCACTCACAGGAGAAAAATGACACGGTGCAGTTTTGCAGCAGAAGTTAAGTTGTTGCACTTCACAATGTGCTCCCTACCTCTCCCGGGGGGTCTCTGCATCCCAGGTCTTCCCAGCACCGGTTTCAGCACCCCATATTTCTCTTGCAGTCCCTGTTTTTCAATGATTGCCAATCTTGAATATAGAAAAGGAATGGACTTCAGTGAGAATTCCAACACCAGTCCTTGACTAGACACTAATGGCTTAGCCCTACTACCTCAAAGACACCCTTACAAACTGAACGGGAAATCCCATACCTGTGTCTCAAGTACGCGGCTTCCCTGCTCTGCTCTGCCATCTCTCTCTCCAAAATCCGACCCTTGATCTGTGGGAGGAGAAGCACACCCAAGTTCAGTTGTGGCAACTACAAAATGAAGGCGAGAAAGAAAGAAAAACACTTACCCGGTTCTCCTGAGCCTTCTTCTCAAGAAGAGAAATCTGAAAAAGGCAACACATCAATAAACCCTCCAGGATGAGGAATGCTAAGGCCCCCCCTCCAGCAGCCTGAGGTGCTCAGGAACGTGGGTGGAGGCAGGTCACCTGGTGTCTGAAGCTGAACTCCTCCTGCTGCAGTTCTTCTTGCATTCGTTCAATTTGCTGCCTGTGAGTTATAATACAATGGCTTTCATCACATAAAGCTTAACATTGAGCATGATTATAACAGTTGCCCAGTTCCTGTTATCCTCATATCTATCTCCAAATACAATTTATTAATCATTTTCACATGATTATAAAGTGACAGTAAGAGCAAACCTACTGCTAACATCCTTCTCTTATTTATTATTTTAAATAATGCCTACAGGGTTCTGAGTTGATATAATTCCCATACATTTTCAATATTTCTCTAATTTATTGTGTGATGAGTGACTGATCATAAAGCTTTTATTCTCTTTGTACTTATATTCTTACCATAATTTCCAGGGTTGCAAAAACTAAGTCCATTAGTGACACTACTGTATTAGTGGATGCAGTTCTTCCTAAAACAAGGGTCATTCTCAAGTAACCTCTACGAAGTTTCCACACAATCTGGCCAGCTTTGGGGATCAGTATATTTTCAGTGACTTAAATTGTTTGTTCTTTGTAATACTTATCTTTACCCCACACATTCTCTATGTATAGACCTTCTGAACTTTTGGGTTAATTGGTTCCAAACATTGTACAAAAGTTAAAATAAAAAGATGAAAAGCAATTTCATGAACCACTGGTATTTAGTATTTAACCTTACTTGTAATTGTGTGCTTCTCCTGAAACTACTTTCAAATTTTCCTCTGCAGCGGACAGCTGATTCTCCCTTTCCATCCACTCACATTGTGTCTTTTTCAGTTTCCTAAGATGGAAAAAGATATACACATTGTCCAGTAGCCAGTGTGAAATTCTGCCTTCCTTATCTCCCAGACTTCTGAAGGTCTAACTTCAAATGTTCCTCCCCACCTCCCCATCTGTGGGTAGATTGACAACATAATCTGAAGAATGAACACAAGTCCCCCATCTAGGATTAAAGAACAACCAAACTTTGACCTGCGAGCAAGTCTCTCTGCAATCTTAGTTTCTCTTTACAGTTCTTTACTCCTATTAATTCATCATAAAGTCATATAAAAAACGTACTGGGTGCCCTCCCAGGGTCAGTCTTGCATTTGAGATGGTAAAGACTCAATTTGTTTCAATGTGGAAAATGATACCTGACCAACTCATCCCAAGTAAACACATTATGATGAAGCAGGGGATCACAGTTAGTTTTATGCCTCCATGGGGAGCCCTGAGTCTTTATCCAGGCTGTGTATTGATGCAGACAATCAGCCAAAGAGAGTCTTCCAGGATATGGCTTCATGAACACTCTCCAATAACTACCCAAAATTTCTATGGTTCAGGAGTGTAATCCCTACCTCTTTTTTGAAGGAAAAAAAAGATCCAAGAAAAAAAAGCAAATCTTCGTGCTGTATTAAAATGATGCGACCTGTCACACACTCAGGGTGTTGTCTCCAGGAGACAGATTTCAGATGGAAAACTAACATCTTCATGGTATTAACCTACTTTCATAAGACTGAGTCACTGATATTGAGAACAGTAAATGTCAATGGCTTAACAAAGGATGATGTGCTGTGTTTTCTGTCAGATTATTTTGTTCATGGTTCCAGTTCACAGGGTTTCAACCTGGTACTCTTCTATGGATTCACATGCAAAATTCAAAAATTCTAGAAACAAGGATAAAAACACTAAGGAGAAAAAGGTACCTGCATTTCTGTCTGGCCTCCCAGGCAATCTTTAAGCAAATGCTTTAGACTGGCTATAATGTAGTGGTTGTATGGTAAGGTATTGAGTGCGGAATAAAATGTGACTTGACATAGGGTTGGGAGAGCCAGACAATGTGCTGGGACTGAAACTTAAAGGACAGTGTAAATGGATCCAGAGGGGATCCAGGTAGTAATTTAATTGATACTGGGACAATGCCTCTACTATCCAGATAATCTGTAAGAAAGAATGTGTGATGATCACTTAGAACAGAAAGAAAAATGTGGATTATGGAAATCAAGGTAGGAGGAATGTGTTGGATGAATTTGGCAAAACTACCCTGGAACCTATTCTAAAGGAAATATGATTATCTGCATCGGTTGACACATTCATTTATACAACAGTATTTGGAACATATGAACATCTTACTCTTCTGCAGCCATTTTTCTTTGCTCATAGAATCCAATAAGGAAGGCTTCATTTCTCTTCAGCATTTTTAATTCCACTTCCTTCTCTGCTTTCACAGACCTCAGTGCATCACAGATGTCTTTCAGGTTCTTTTCACCTTCTGGAAGGAAGGCATTTTCTTTGTGTGAGAAGTTGTTTGGGGTGGGGAAAAAAGTGAGGAAGAACCCTGAAGGCAAGAAGAATTCTGTGCCTCCCCCCAGCAAACTTATTTCCATTATGTGGGGCCTTCTTCCCAACAAACAACATACCTACAAGTTCACAGTTTTTGTTTCTCAAGGCTCTCAGCTCTGAATCCTCAAATTCAGCACTGGCATCTTGTAACTTTAAACAGACATGAAAAAAAAAAAAAACATTCAAGAAGTAATGATCCACAACAATGTGAGTATACTTAACACAGGAGGGTTGTGCACTAAAAATGTTTAACATGGTTCATTTGATTTATGTGCATTATAGCACAATCAAAAATTGGTAAGGAAGGTATGGAAGTAAGATGGCAGAGGAGAAGGACTTTGATGTCACCTCCTCTCACAAAATCATCAGAATCAAAACTAATTGCTGAACAATAATAGACAAAAATGACTGGAACCTCTCAAAAAAAAAAAAATTCTACATCCAAAGACAAAGAAGAAGCCACAACAAGACAGCATCAAGGCTGCAACTGCAAAATAATCAAATCCCATACCCGTCGGATACCTGCCTGCCTGCATACATTCTCAGTCATGTCCAACTCTTTGCAACTCTCTGGACTATAGCCCACCAAGCCCCTCTGTCCATGGAATTTTCCAGGCAAGAAGACAGGAGTGGGTTCCCATTTCCTTTTCCAGGGGATCGTCCTGACCCAGGGATTGAAACTGCATCTCTTGTGTCTCCTGCATTGGCAGGTGGATTCCTTACCAGCTGAGCCACTGTGTTGGTGACCCTCAATCTGGAAAGTAATTATATCACAGATGTTCTTCCACAGCAGTGGCAGTGCTGAGACCCACGTCAGCTTCCCCAGCCTGGGCATCTGTCACTGGGATGAGGAACCCCTGGAGCATTCTGGCTTAGAATGTCAGTGAGGCTTGATCACAGAAAGGCCACAGGACTAGGGGAAAGAGACACTCCACACTTGGAAAGTACAATCAAGATCTCATGAGCAATAGGACCCAGGGAATATGCAATGACATCATAGGAGCCTGGGCCAGACCTACCTGCTGGTCTTGGAAGGGGCTCCAGGAGGCAGAGGCAGCTGTGGCTCACTGTGGAGACAAGGACACTGGTGATGAAAGTTCCTTGAAATACTCACTGACATCAGCTCTCCTGGAGGCTGTCCTTTTGTCACCCAGTCCAGGCCCCACTCAAGAGACTATAGGCTCCAGTGTTGGGATGCCTCAGGCCAAACAACCAGCAGGGTGGGAACACAGCCCCAGTCAGGCTGCCTAAAACCTTTCTGAGCCCAGAGCTATCTCTAAACACACTCCTTGCCTTGGCACTGCATGCCAAAGGAAGAAGACCCATCTCCACCCACCAGTGGATAGGCACAAGGCGCTCCCACCATGAGGCCTGCACAAGCCTCTAGACCAGCCTCACCCAACAGAAGGCAGATTTTTACAAGAAGAGGCAGGAGGAAGTACAACCCTGCAACCTGTGGAAAAAAGACCACAAACACAAAAAGTCAGATGACAAAATGAGACAGCAGAAGAATATGTTCCAGGCAAAGGCATTAGCTAAAACCACAGATGAATAACTAAGTGAAGTGGAGGTGGGCAATCTACCCAAAAATGAATTCAGAGTAATGATAGTAAACACAATCTAAGATTTCAGAAAAATAATGGAAGCACAGAAATGTTAAACAAGAAATGTTTAACAAAGAACTAGAAGAAACAAAGAACAGAAAACAGTGCTGGAGGATACAAGAACTGAAATGAAAAATACAGTAGAAGGAATCAACAGCAGAGTAACTGATGAAGTAGAGTGGATAAGTGAGCAGCTGGAAGACAGAATGTTGGAAATTACTGCCATGAAGCAGATTAAAAGGGTACAAAAGAAAAGAAATGAACACAGTCTAAGAGACCTCAGGGACAACATTAAATGCACCAACATTTGCATTATGGGGGAGAGAGAGAACAGAGAGAGAGAAAGAGCCTGAGAAAATTCTTGAACAGATAATAGCTGAAAACTTTCCTGACAAGGGAAAGCAAACAGTCACTCACATTCAGGAAGTACAGAGTGCCACAGAGGGTAAACTCAAGGAGGAATACACAGAGACACATATTAATCAAACTGTCTAACCCTAACCCTAGCCCTAAGCACCCAACCAGCTTTAACAAATGCTAAAGGACATTCTCTAACAGGAAACACAAAGCCACAACACAAACATGAAAATTATGAATGAGAAAACTTACTGGTAAAGGCAAACATACAGGGGGAATTCCCTGGTGGTCCAGGGGCAAGAGGTCTGTGTTCTCAAAGCAGGGAGCCTTGGTGGATCCCTGGTCAGGGACCTAGATCCTGCATTCTCCAATTAAAGGCCTTCATACCACAACTAAATGCCAAATCAAAAACTGAAGATCCTATGTGCTGCAACTAAGACCCAGAGTAGACAAATAAATATATAAAATAAATATATTTTTTAAAAAGGCAAGTATATTTCGATAGCATCACTGATACAATGGACATGAGTTTTAGTAAACTCCTGGAGACAGTGAAGGACAAGGAAGCTGCAGACCATGGGGTTGCAAAGAGTTGGATACACTTTAGATACTAAACAACAACATTGTAAAGGTAGGAAATCATCCACACACAAATATGATATCAAAACCAGCAATCAAGGGAAGAGCGTACAAATGCTGGATTTTGGTAATGCATTTGAAATTTAGAGACAACAAACTGAAAACAATCTTGTGTATATACAGACTGCTATATCAAAACCCATGGTAACTAAACCAAAAATCTTCAATAGATATAAACACAAAAAAGAAAAAGGAATAAAAAAAAAAACCCACTAAAGATAGATATCAAATCAAAATAGAAGAGAACAAAGAGGAAGGGAAGAAAAAAGACCTGTGAAAACAAATTAAAGCAATTAACTAAATGGTAATAAAATCAAACCTATTAAAAATTACCTTAAAAGTAACTGGATTAAATGCTTGAGCCAAAGGACACAGCATGGCAGAAAGGATGTAAAAACAAGACCTGTATACATGCTGTCTATAAGAGACCCACTTCAGTTCTAGGGATACATACAGACTGCAAGTGAGAAGATGGTAAAAGTTATTCCACGTAAATGGAAATCAAAAGAAAGCTGGAGTAGCAATACTCATAAAAGACAAAATGGACCTTAAAATGAAGACTGTTATGACAACAACAAAAAGAATACAAATCATAGAAGAAATCAAAAAAGAAATCAAAATATGCATAGAAACGAATGAAAATGAAAACACAACAACCCAAAACCTATGGGAGACTAAAAGCAGTGCGAAGGGGAAGGTTCATAGCATTACAGGCTGCCTCAAGAAAGAAGAAAAAAGTTAAGTAAATAACCTAACTCTACACCTAACGGAATTAGAGAAGGAAGAAATGAAGAACTTCAGGGTTAGTAGAAGGAAAGAAATCTTAAAAATTTGGGCAGAAATATATGCAAAAGAAACAAAAGAGACCATAGCAAAAATCAACAAACCTAAAAGCTGGTTTTTCTGGAAAGATAAACAAAATTGACAAACCGTTAGCCAGACTCATGAAGAAACAAAGGCAGAAGAACCAAATCAACAAAATTAGAAATGAAAATGGAGAGATCATAACAGACAACACTGAAATACAAAGGATCATAAGAGACTACTACCAGCAGCTCTATGCCAATAAAATGGACAACAACTTGGAAAAAATGGACAAATTCTTAGAAAAGTATAACTTTCCAAAACTGAACCACAAGAAATAGAAGATCTTAACAGACCCATCTCAAGGATGGAAATCGAAACTGTAATCAGAAATCTTCCAGCAAACAAAAGCCCAGGACCAGATGGCTTCACAGCTGAATTCTACCAAAAATTTAGAGAAGAGCTAACATCCATCTTACTCAAACTCTTCCAGAAAATTGCAGAAGAAGGTAAACTTCCAAACTCATTCTATGAGGCCACCATCACCCTAATTCCCAAACCAGACAAAGATGCCACAAAAAAAGAAAACTACAGGCCAATATCACTGATGAACATAGATGCAAAAATCCTTAACAAAATTCTAGCAAACAGAATCCAACAACATATTAAAAAGATCACATGACCAAGTGGGCTTTATCCCAGGAATGCAAGGATTCTTTAATATCCACAAATCAATGTTAGACACCACATTAACAAACTGAAAGATATAAACCACATGGTTATCTCAATAGATGCAGAAAAAGCCTTTGACAAAATTCAACATCCATTTATGATAAAAACTCTCCAGAAAGCAGGAATAGAAGGAACCTACCTCAACATAATAAAAGCTATGTATGACAAACCCACAGCAAACATTATACTCAATGGTGAAAAATTGAGAGTATTTCCCCTAAAATCAGGAACAAGACAAGGGTGCCCATTCTCACCACTACTATTCAACATAGTTTTGGAAGTGTTGGCCACAGCAATCAGAGCAGAAAAAGAAATAAAAGGAATCCAGGTAGGAAAAGAAGAAGTGAAACTCTCGCTGTTTGCAGACGACATGATCCTCTACACAGAAAACCCTAAAGACTCTACCAGAAAATTACTAGAGCTAATCAATAAATATAGTAAAGTTGCAGGATATAAAATTAACACACAGAAATCCCTTGCACTCCTATACACTAACAGAGAAAACAGAAAGAGAAATTGAGGAAACAATATCATTCACCATTGCAACAAAAAGAATAAAATACTTAGGAGTATATCTACCTAAAGAAACAAAAGACCTATACATAGAAAACTATAAAACACTGATGAAAAAATCAAAGAGGACACAAACAGATGGAGAAATATACTGTGTTCATGGATTGGAAGAATCAATATTGTGAAAATGAGTATACTACTCAAAGCAATCTATAGATTCAAAGAAATCCCTATCAAGCTACCAACAGTATTCTTCACAGAACTAGAACAAATAATTTCACAATTTGTATGGAAATACAAAAATCCTCGAATAGCGAAAGCAATCTTGAGAAAGAAGAATGGAATTGGAGGAATCAACCTGCCTGACTTCAGGCTCTACTACAAAGCCACAGTCATCAAGGCAGTATGGTACTGGCACAAAGACAGAAATATAGATCAATGGAACAGAATAGAAAGCCCAGAGATAAATCCACGAACCTATGCACACCTTATCTTTGACAA